AGGAAACACAAACACGTCCAGGCGCAGAGGCTGCTGCTCGCTGCCCCACACACTCCTCCCAGCCACAGCCATTTTTAGCTCCTACATCCTCCCGGAGAACGTGAGCCATTAACCTTCACCCTGGCAGTGAGCCAGTTCTGTGTTTATCCCAAGCATTTTCCAAAAGACACTCTGTCCTTACATGAAAATGTCAAGACCTCGGGATGCAAGTGCTTCCTTTGGGAGTTCGCCCTATAGTCTGGTCGCCCTCACAAGGAAAAACACATATGATTGATTGCTCTGAATCAATCTTATCTGGGGGCAGATTCCTGCCTGTGAACTACTACGAACAGTTGTCACAGCAACTTTTCAAGGGGTTTTCAGAGCCAAAAATCATATATGTTCACTGTTAACCCTTCCCTGCAGCCTGCAGGCTTGCCGGGTGGGAGCAGCCCCCCTCCTCTGGGAGGCAGGACCAGCCAGGGACGCGGTGGCAGGGTGGGAGGAGAGGGGCTGAGGGCCACGCATGCCCCAGCTCTAGTACCCACCTGCCCCAGCTGATGGACCTCTCCATGGGGCTGCTGGTGGGCAGGTGCTCCCCAGCGAAGCTGGTGATCTGGATCCGGTAGCTGCGCGGATGCCCCCACTTGTTGGGCTTGGGGCTGGCAAAGGAAAGGTAGCGGGGCATGGGACTGTTGAGTGGGAATGCCGCCTCGCCCTCCCTCTCCAGCCTCCTCCGGCGGATGTATGGCCGCTCAATGGTGTTCTGCATGCTCCAGGGGTCTTTCACGAGCTCGTAGCCCATGTCTTGGGTCTCCAGAGAGTTCAGCTGCCCTGTGAAGCAGAACGGAAAACCCTCCCAATCTCCGCAACACGGGCAGAGCTGCAGCCCACGGCGAACCACAGCCACGCACAAAGGCACCCAGACCTACCGTCGACATCCAGGTCCACCTTGTAGTGGATGTGGTGGAGGTGCAATGTCCCCAGCGTGTGGGGCCCAACCTTGTTGCCATAGTCGGTGCCTCGGCCGTGGAAGAAGGAGGAGCTGATGTAGCCGGTGGCGTGCACCCGGACCTCCACAGCCCCGCTGCCGTGGAACATGAAGTCCCAGATGTAGTCATAGTTGATGAGAGTGGAGACAGCACGGATGACCAGCACGTTTTTCCGCAGCCCGCCGTAGTAGAAGGACTGCAAGTCGGAGAAGTGGCGCCGCAGAGGGATGGCAGCATCATGCTCAAAAATACAAAGCGAGTTTTGGTTGGTTTTGGGGGTATCTGACTCTGCCAGGTAGTGCCGGTCCACATAGGTTGCCATGTAGGGGCAGTCGAGGCCCCGGACAAGCTCATAGGCAAACCTGCCAATGCCGAAGCTCCCATCGAGGTAGCGGGTTGACATGCCCGCGGGGCAGTTGGAGCCATACAGGGCTAAGGCTTCCTGGAGACTCAGCTCATAGACAATCCTCTTCCCACGGTACCTGATGTCAAAGAGGCGCGGACCAGAGTTGGGGTTCATGCCAAAGGCGATGCTCCAGCCCTGGAAGGTGACACGGTTGTCCTTGACGCTGTAGCGGGGACCCTGGGGCTCGTAATGCAGCGGCCCTGGGGAGCCAGGCGGGTGCCGGGGTCTCATCGAGCCCAGCACTGTGTCTGCCTGGGGCTTCCTGATCCTGACCACGTCCAGCAAATTGGCCACAAATGCATCTTCCAGATCCACCGTGCTGGCAAAGTACCGGCCATTGTAGAAGACTTGGCAGAATGGGGGAGGCCCCCATGCTCCCCGAGCACCTCCAGCCCCACCGGAGAGAGGTAGGAGCCGGTGCCGGCCATGCTGTGGAAGAGGACAAACCAGGTTGCACGGTCACCGGATTTGAAGCCCCGCGGGGCTGTTGTGACGATGGCCAGGTCTGTCCCGTCAGACTCACAGCAAGCGACGAGGAAGCGCGGTGCCTTTCTCAGCTCTTGCTGGATGAGGGCGTGGATATCCATGTACTCCTTGCCGGTAACAGGTCTGCGGTGGTACGGCACCTTCCCCCCGTACTTCTGCACCGTGACGTCCCGGTGATACGCCGGCGTCGGCAGCGGACCCACCACGTACTCGGTGATGTTGGGGTCTGGCTGGTTCCCAAAGTAGAGCACAGCCAGCGCCTCCCGGGGGGGCCGAGCCCCCCCACCATCCAGGAACCGCAGCACCTCTGCCTTGCCAGGGACCTGCACGTCGACGGAGGCGATGCAGTTGTCGGAGGGCTTCGCACGCGAGGCGTCGACCAGCTGCACCCCGAGGTTTGCCTGCAGGTACCGCACCACCTGCACCATCTCTTCAGGCGAGCAAAGACCGGGCTGCGTCCGCCATCGGTGTCCTCCTGCTCCGGGGGCTGGTGCTGGCAGGTGCTGGGGGCCCTTCCCCTGGTCAGCAGCACACAGACCAAAGCAAATATCGTGGCTAAAGCCAGAACGAGGAGGATGAGCACGGTTTTCACATTCATGTCTGCTGAGGCACCAGGAGCTCCGCTGTCTGCCAGGGCGGGTTTCCAGCTGCGGAACCCTCCCAGCGACTCGTCAACTGAAAGGGCTGGGTTTGGTTGGGTCGGTTTTTTTTTTCCCTCCGTTGTTTTTGCAGCAGGGAAGAACGCAGAGCAGCTCACAGGGGGATGTTCTCAGACGTGCTCAGGATTTGCTGGGAACCATAAAAGGCAACTTTGCTCTGCTTCCCTCAGCGGGTCATGATTTTAAGTAAACTTAATGCTTCTGCATCTGTCCTTTCCCTCTTGTCCCACATGCTGCGCTGCAGACCTTGGAGAGCACAGATCCAGTCACTGGGGGAAATAAATGCATCTCCCTGCACGTCCTTCTGTTAACCCTGCAGATGCAAACAGCCAGGCAGGGAGCAGAGACTGCGAGGACGATGCTCCTCCACGCAGAGCACTGCTGAGCACTGCACCATGGCCCCATCCTGCCACGGCTCTGCTGTCGTCGCGATGTCTGTACAGCCTGCGCCACGGCATCGCAGCATCGCATGCTGCTGCCGACGACCCCGTGCATGGGAAGGCACCGGTCCTGCAGCTGGAATGCAGGGAGGGGGCAGCCGCTCGTCACCCCCCAAAAGGTGCCTTCTAGTCCTGGGCCACGTCCTGGCACAGACAGGGCTGCGAGAAGGGGGACGAGGGCTCCAGAGCCCCCCCCGAGTCCTGGCAAGCAGGCAGCGGCACTGCCGGCACCCCTGCTGCAGCCCAGAGCGGGGGTCTCGCGTGAACCTGGGCAGCCCCGGGCTGCAAGGGGCTGAGCTGGCCCCGATGCCACGGGGATGGGGTTCAGCTGGCTCATGCAGAACCACCCGTGGGGACGGCGCTGGTGCGGGGACAGCGAGGACCCTCCCTACAACAGGCCCCTCCGCTCCACTCGCTGCACCCTGCGGCGAGCGCTCGAGAGCTGCAGCCCACGCGGGTCCTGGCTCTGTCCCCAGCCTCACCCGAGCTCCCACCTCGGTGCTCCCCACAGAGCCCCAGGAGCCCCCAGCCCATCCCTCCTGCCCTCCAGCTGGACCATTCCTGTGCCTGGATGGGCACCCAGAGCCTCGCTGCTGGGCTGGGGTGTGGGTGCAGGGAACACGGCAGAGACCCGGCATCACCCCCGTAGCAGACGCTGCTGTAAGTCGTAAGAAGGAGGCACTTGAGAGAGCACTGGACCAGAATAATTTTCATTTTTTTAACCTGAGGTACGCACTACACAGCTTCTACAGCAGAGGAACAGGATTTTCTCCTCACTTTCCTCCTGCAACAGACTCAAATTCAGCAACTAACAGAGATAACACAGACACCCATCTGGCATCATGTCAAGAAGATTATGCTTCCCTTGTAAACAGCACTATTTTAAAAGCAATGATAAAAAAGTGAAGCCATTGCACAACTGGAAATTGAGACAACTCCACTAAAAAACTGAATATCTGAGACAGAACAGTCAACCTGGTGCCTCTGATTGTGTCTTCTAACCCCGTCCCGCAGTGTTAAAGCCTGCTCATATTTTGGAAACCGTCATAGGTGAACAGGGGGAAGTTTGGCAAACAAGAGGCAGTTTTGGGCAGGCACGCAATAGGGTTGATTTCACACGCCGTGAAGTCCTGCTCACTGGTGAAAAACACACCATCGTGCGAGTATATGGAGGGGTCCAGGTCGTAGTAGTTGTAGGGTCTCAGGAGAAAGCCGACTGAGTTTCCCACTGTCACCGTGTTGGGAATATCCTCAGAGTGCGGGATGTGGAGGAAACCAGCCGTTATCCAGGCAACCAGGTCCCAGGCAGAGCAGAGCCACAAGGCAGCGGTTATTTCACAAGCCTGCAGCG